AGTTATTAAATGGAGAGTTAGAGGTATTGGGAAGATGGAGGGAATATTTTGAGGAATTGTTAAATGTTGATGAAGATAGGGAAGCTGTGATTTCGTGTATAGGACAAGGAGGAATAACATCTTGTAGGAGTGAGGAAGAGCCAGTTGTGAGTGTGGGGGAAGTTCGTGAGGCAGTAGATAAAATGAAAGGGGGTAAGGCAGCCGGGATTGATGGGATAAAGATAGAAATGTTAAAAGCAGGTGGGGATATAGTTTTGGAGTGGTTGGTGCAATTATTTAATAAATGTATGGAAGAGGGTAAGGTACCTAGGGATTGGCAGAGAGCATGCATAGTTCCTTTGTATAAAGGCAAAGGGGATAAAAGAGAGTGCAAAAATTATAGGGGGATAAGTCTGCTGAGTATACCTGGTAAAGTGTATGGTAGAGTTTTTATTGAAAGAATTAAGAGTAAGACGGAGAATAGGATAGCAGATGAACAAGGAGGCTTTAGGAAAGGTAGGGGTGTGTGGACCAGGTGTTTACAGTGAAACATATAAGTGAACAGTATTTAGATAAGGCTAAAGAGGTCTTTGTGGCATTTATGGATTTGGAAAAGGCGTATGACAGGGTGGATAGGGGGGCAATGTGGCAGATGTTGCAAGTGTATGGTGTAGGAGGTAGGTTACTGAAAGCAGTGAAGAGTTTTTACGAGGATAGTGAGGCTCAAGTTAGAGTATGTAGGAAAGAGGGAAATTATTTCCCAGTAAAAGTAGGCCTTAGACAAGGATGTGTGATGTCACCGTGGTTGTTTAATATATTTATAGATGGGGTTGTAAGAGAAGTAAATGCGAGGGTCTTGGCAAGAGGCGTGGAGTTAAAAGATAAAGAATCACACACAAAGTGGGAGTTGTCACAGCTGCTCTTTGCTGATGACACTGTGCTCTTGGGAGATTCTGAAGAGAAGTTGCAGAGATTGGTGGATGAATTTGGTAGGTGTGCAAAAGAAGAAAATTAAAGGTGAATACAGGAAAGAGTAAGGTTATGAGGATAACAAAAAGATTAGGTGATGAAAGATTGAATATCAGATTGGAGGGAGAGAGTATGGAGGAGGTGAATGTATTCAGATATTTGGGAGTGGACGTGTCAGCGGATGGGTCTATGAAAGATGAGGTGAATCATAGAATTGCTGAGGGGAAAAGAGTGAGTGGTGCACTTAGGAGTCTGTGGAGACAAAGAACTTTGTCCTTGGAGGCAAAGAGGGGAATGTATGAGAGTATAGTTTTACCAACGCTCTTATATGGGTGTGAAGCATGGGTGATGAATGTTGCAGCGAGGAGAAGGCTGGAGGCAGTGGAGATGTCATGTCTGAGGGCAATGTGTGGTGTGAATATAATGCAGAGAATTCGTAGTTTGGAAGTTAGGAGGAGGTGCGGGATTACCAAAACTGTTGTCCAGACGGCTGAGGAAGGGTTGTTGAGGTGGTTCGGACATGTAGAGAGAATGGAGCGAAACAGAATGACTTCAAGAGTGTATCAGTCTGTAGTGGAAGGAAGGCGGGGTAGGGGTCGGCCTAGGAAAGGTTGGAGAGAGGGGGTAAAGGAGGTTTTGTGTGCGAGGGGCTTGGACTTCCAGCAGGCATGCGTGAGCGTGTTTGATAGGAGTGAATGAAGACAAATGGTTTTTAATACTTAACGTGCTGTTGGAGTGTGAGCAAAGTAACATATATGAAGGGGTTCAGGGAAACCGGCAGGCCGGACTTGAGTCCTGGAGATTTGAAGTACAGTGCCTGCACTCTGAAGGAGGGGTGTTAATGTTGAAGTTTAAAAACTGTAGTGTAAAGCACCCTTCTGGCAAGACAGTGATGGAGTGAATGATGGTGAAAGTTTTTCTTTTTCGGGCCACCCTGCCTTGGTGGGAATCGGCCAGTGTGATAAAAAAAAAAAAAAAATTGTGGTGATATTATTTATACAATTATTACAATATTGCATAACAGTAGATATTCTATCTTTTGGTTTGAGTAAAAATTCATTATGTGAATAAAAAATCAAAATGGAATTCATTAGTAAAGCCTGAAAACATAACTAATGAACAGAGGAAATGTTAGTTTAGTGCCAGGAATGCCTGCCTTGTTTATTCTGGACTGTTTTGAATTTGGAGTATTTTGAACTTTGCATTAATTTTGTAGTTGAAACAGGTGACTTGGCGAATTCTTGTGCTCAGTCGATAGAATAGAATAGAAGTAATACTAGTGGAATAGCTAAGAATTTGGTCGACTGGAATAATGTAATTGGCCTAAAATGGGAGTCAAAGTCGGCAAAATCGCCAATGCGTAAATATCGCTGACACATGAAAATTCGCGAGAGCATACTTTCGTCAGTTTTCTATCAAATTTCATACTTTTTCTTTTATTACCTTCAGAAAAAGATTCTCTTCCATTTCATAAGAAAAAATAACAAAATTATTTTTTGAAAATTCTTGGACACTGGTGCACACTTTGAAGCTTGGCCTCTGGACCCTGAAAGGGTTAAATCTGTTTACATAATACATATGTTTGGACTTCTTTATTAGATTAGTAAATATTGTGGATTATTTCTTTATGAACCCTTCAGAATAGCATCACCTTGGCATCACATTAGTATCATTCTCGAATTTCGTAACACAGTATTTCTCATTTTTCTGATAGTAGAGTGCTTGCAATTATGACAGCTAATTAAACAGTCAAGCATAACTATCACTGCTTGGCTGTTTTGACACTAATGACTAGAAGTGTTCCAGTTTTTCATGCCTTTCAGTTTTGCTTAACTCAGTAACTGAACAGTATTTTTTTTTTTGTTTTGATTAGCCATTTCCCACCAAGATAGGGTGACCCAATGAAGAAAACACATTCACCATCATTCATTTACTAGCCGTCTTGCCAGAAATGAATGGACTTCAGAATTCAAATGATCTTCTGAACTATTAACATGGCCACCCAGCAATGCAGTACAATATTATCATCCCTGGGCACTTTTTTTTTTTTTTTTTTTTTTTTATCAAGTCGGCCATCTCCCACCGAGGGAGGGTGACCCAAAAAGAAAGAAAATCCCCAAAAAGAAAATACTTTCATCATTCAACACTTTCACCCACTCACACATAATCACTGTTTTTGCAGAGGTGCTCAGAACACAACAGTTTAGAAGCATATATGTATAAAGATACACAACATATATTTATATTTATCTTATTTTTATCATATATTTTATCACACTTCATGCCACAGTACTACATCCCTGTCTTTCTTTACTTGACAAGAATATAATGAAATATGCAAAAATAGTTTTCATCATTTATTTCCCAAAGATTTGTCATTTCACTTGTATTTACAAGGAAAATCTACAGTGTTAAGAGAAACTTTTTCCATCTTTATTGTGTTTTATGAGATGGTTATCCTGTTCAGTGACCTTTGAATTCTTAAAGCAGGTCTCTGCAACTTGGGTTCTTGCATCCCATATAAATATTTGCATAGGATTCAGGTCATAATGAAAATTTTGTACTAAGTACTAGACAAAGACTGAATTGAAGTTGTGAAATCTCCTTGTGTAGTTAGAATTAATATATGATTACTTTGGGTCTCTTGTTTTCCTCCCATGAACATTTCAGTAGCAATGTATGTGAGTGAGTATCCATGACTTTCTAGTTCATTTGACTCGTAGATTTATTTAAGTTTTCATTGGAAGGGTATGTATTCATTATTAGTTTCTAAGTTGGATCTTTATAGGTTGATCAACAATCACTATAAGCATCAATTTACTGATTATTGAAGTCGTGATGAATCCATTACAGTGTTCCCAGGTTGTGTTCTTAATTCTTTCTAATTACAATGAATAAGTGTATTTAAAAATGTAATTATCATCATTTTGTAATGTTAATTTCCATATGAGGTATCCAATGTCAATTTCATAGTTTCCTGCAAATTTAAATGTACTATTTTCTTCATTTTTTTTATTGTGATGACTATGTTGGGTTATGCTGGGTTAATAAGTAAAAAAAAAAAAATTAACCACAAATATGCAAATTCAAAAATGACCATGAGATGTCTGAAAACGAAGTGGCTGTGTGTAACCACAAATATTCATATCTGTACAATTATCACTCATGGTGAAAGAACGGGTTGAATAATATCAGAAATTATCAGGCTTATATCTGTAAATATTTAAGACCATCAGTACATAAATCATTTTATTATATTTTCACTCAGTCCTCCTTACCTAGTTCATCCTCTACCTCTACAAGAAGAGGTAATTAAAGAAAGCAAAATAAGATGGCCTGTAGTAATGTGCTAAGTTAACCTGTCATTTGCCCCATGACAGAGAGTTCTCCAAAGAAAGAGAAAAAGCACAGGCACGAGGAGACTTCATGAAATTACGGAAAAAGCAACAAATTGAGGAGGATTTGAGAGGTTATCTGGAATGGATAACTGCAGCTGAAGATATAGAGATGGAAGGAGACGAGAAGACGGAAACAGATGGTAGGGAGAGAATCAGTGAAACCTCTGGTGCCTTGCTAACACCCCTCACTAATCCAAAAGTAGTTTAGCTAACTGCCATTGTATCACAGGGCTCACAGTCTTCCAGAGTTATCAAGAATTGTTGGAGAATGAGGCAGAAACTACAGACATCAGCTGAGCTTGGAACTGCCCTATCCCAGTGCAATAGTGTCACTTTTCACCTTAGTCAGTGTCTCACTAGTAGCCTCTGGTCTAAAATGTAGAACAAGAAATATGGTAATCTTAAGTATATCTTCATCTGTAGTAATATTTACAGTTATAATTGCCAAGAGAGTTGTAAATTATGCAGGTTTTTAATTTTATACTTTTATTGGCAATACTTAGCTGGCTAAGGTGACTTAGTGTTGCTTTGCTCTCCTTTACCTACATTAGTGTGATTAGCATCAAGGTAATATGTGTTGATACTTACCCAGTAAGAGTGAGATTAGAATAGCTGTAGCAAGCACTAACCCTAGCTATGTGTGTTCCCTACTAGAGAATTCTCAAAGGAAAGAGAGAAAGCTAAAGCCCGTGGAGACTTCAGAAAGCTTAGAGAAAAGCAGCAAATAGAGGAAGATCTTCGAGGGTATCTTGAGTGGATTACCCATGCTGAAGACCTTGACCTTGAGGAAAAGGATGATAAAAAGGAGTCTGACGGTAGGCAGCAATAACCAATTTTTTTTTATCTTCGGTTTTAATCTGTCTCCCTCCAATTTATCATCTTTTTGGTAGAGTTTAGAGAACAGTGATGAAAGCACTGTTTCTCTTTCTATGTTGCTTCTTAGAATAAAGTAGGATATTGTTGTATAATTTTAGCTTTTTGTATAGTTCATTCTTGAAGATCTTCTTTCCCCCACTTTAATAATATTGCATATTTGATAAAGTGAGAATGTCCTAATTCATCTTGCTTTACAACAGGTAAAACTAATTGAAGATTGCAGAGAATTGGCAGAGGCAATAATGAAAATAAGATCAACTCTTATGTGAACCATATTTTAAATGTGATAAATATGCTGATAGTAATGTTATATTTGGAAATTAACACAATGCCATAATAGTTGATCTTAAATGTTTTAAAATGTTTTAAAAACACCATTATAATTTATTTTCTGGATTAATGATATTAGTGATTTAAATAATATAATGATCTTTCTCTAATAATTACAGCATGTAGCAATTACTAACTGATATAATTATTAAATCTTGATGTTGATAATAAAACATAATGTGGATGAGATGAAGGTATGAATTAACCATAGGTGGAGGCAATCATAAATTGAAACATAGGTCTGTCTGTTAATTTTAGTTATGCATTTTTTCTGAGCAATGCATTCTTTATTTGTATTGATGCATTTTAATTTATAAGTAAGCAGTGCTATATGAGTGAGATTTGCTATTTTGTCATCAATAATCTGGTAGAATTTAGCTTTCACTTCATCACAGGCTCAGCCATGCTGTATATGTGATGTGTGCATGTGTAAGACTGAGAACCATACAGCATAGAAGCTAGACCATTTGCAGACAGTCATTGCATATTTCAGTCGTAGAGGTCATGTCTTGTAGGCTAATATGATTCTGGTTATCATGTGGCATGAATGGCAGAAGTGAATTATTATACCAGACCAATTATGAAGCATTGTTACTTGAGGTTTGGTATGTTAGTGTGATGTAATTCTGTTACCTTGATTGATTGATCAAACTGTCTTGTATGTTACTGTACATATAGATGAGGATGCAATCTTTTGAGGGAAGAATTAAGCTATGATAACTTCATTCCTCTTTAGATGTATTCATAATTAGTTATATTGACAGCATGCAGCAGTAAGGCTTAATTTTCCAGTCTTGCAGAGAGGAATAATGTCCCTTGCTGTCACTTGTGCTAAGGTTCAGAGTTGCTACTCCACCACTTAAAAAAAAAAAAAAAAAAAAGCACTCTTCCATGAATCTAGTGTAAATTTTGCACCATCCCCAATCCCTCCCCTCCCTTTCACAAAGGCCAGTTTGCGTGATGCGGGCATGTTAATGTAATTGTTCTAAACGGTGTTCATTTTCCAGAGAGCATTACCAAAGTACCTTTGGGTCAGCTAGGATCTTAAACTGAGGCTTTAATGTGAGAGGAATTCTCAAAGATATTAATATACACTTATATGCTCAGTTTTATTCACACAATCAAGTAATTTGATCCTTGATGTCCAAAAGTACTCTGTTCAAAAAAAAGGAAAGAAAAAATTTGCTTAAATATTAAGTTCTGTGTGAAACGATAGTCTTTTTCCTTGCTACTCTAAATTGTACCTTCTATGCCAAAATTTTTATGTATTATCTGTAGCCACTGTGAGTATGTACCCCTTTCCCCCACACACACAGGTTCAAGGGTAAATAAAAGTAACCCTTCAGATAAAGTGCCAAAAAAGCTCTTGTGTATAATACTGTATATTTATGGTTGTATGCATAACCAATTTGCCTTTTATTTTTTTTAAGTAGACGCTCACATTTTTTGGCCTCATACTACCTCCTATTCACCCAAAAATGGTTCTTTTACAGCCAAGTCTCGTAGATTCGGTCATAGTTTTTTGAGAAATTAATCACTCGAAGATATTTAGACACGTAAGTAGTAAGCAGAGTGAAATTGGAACTAAATAAGTCAGAGGTGGTGTTTGTACATTTTTCCCTTTCGTAGTTAAGAAATGTAGGTTCAGATATTCTCAAGCAGTTGTGAATAAGAAGTTACAGGTTATAAATTTGTGAAAATTTAGTTTCCATACTTAGTGTGAAACCACGCATGTCATAAGAGGCAACTAAAATGATGGGAGCAAGGGGCTAGTAGCCCCTTCTCCTGTATAAATTACTAAATGTTTCTTCTTTTTTGGGTCACCCTGCCTCAGTGGAAGGCGACTGATAAGTTAAAATGACAATTTTAGTATAAAACAATTTTGTAGGTCGTTATTTGAGGCTTAAACATATATACATATATTGTTAAATTGCTATTTACATGAAGACAATTTTAGTTTACTCTGTGTTTGTTATGTCTTGTGACTTTTAATGCTTAAAGAGAAACCTTGAGGATTAAAAGTGAAAATATTTATGTATAACTGGCAACACTAGTTACAAACAATTTAACGCACATTTTCAAAGAGAGTCTTATTCAAGTTGAACCAAATGTATATAAATTTACAGTTTATGCTCTTGATGACACCAGGGCTTTGGTAGATGGGGATTGTTTTTAATAGTGCTGGGTTACAGGAATTTAAGTGTATATACTCTTATTTTTAAGAGTATAAATTCAAGGATTATGTTGAGTAAAATAAAGGTTGGATGTGAAAAGTGGGTTGTAGTAAGTGTTTATGCACCTGAAAAAAAGAGAGAGAGAGAGAGAGAGAGAGAGAGATAGATAGATAGATAGATAGATAGATATAGATAGATATAGATAGATATAGAAAGATATAGATAGATAGATATAGATATAGCTAGATAGATATAGATAGATAGATATAGGTATAGATAGATAGATATAGATAGATAGATATAGATAGATATAGATATAGATAGATATAGATAGACATAGATATAGATATAGATAGATATAGATAGATATTGAGATTCTGGGAAATGTTGAGGGAGTGCATGGGGAGTTTTGAACCAAGTGAGAGAGTACATGTGGTTGGGGATCTCAGTGCTAAAGTGGGTAAAAATGTAGAGGGAGTAGTATTTAAATTTGGGATGCCAGGGGTAAATTAAAATGGGGAGCCTTTAATTGAGCTGTGTGTAGAAAGAGGTTTGATAATAAGTAATACATATTTTATGAAAAAGAAGATAAATAAGTATACAAGATATGATGTAGCACGTGATGAAAGTAGTTTGTTAGATTATGTAGGTAAAAGGTTGATGGGTAGGCTTCAGGATGTACATGTTTTAGAGGAGCAATGGATATACAGTGGACCCCCGGTTAACGATTTTAATCCGTGCAAGAGGGCTCATCGTTATGCGAAATAATCGTTATGCGAATGAATTTTCCCCATAAGAAATAATGGAAATAAAATTAATCCGTGCAAGACGCCCAAAAGTATGAAAAAAATTTTTTTTTACCACATGAAATGTTAATTTTAATACACACAAACTGAAAAAGGCATGCACAATTACATGACACTTACTTTTATTGAAGATCTGGTGATGATTGATGGGATGGGAGGAGGGGAGAGCATTATCTTCTTACTGTTTAGAAGGGGGAATCCCCTTCCATTAGGACTTGAGGTAGCAAGTCCTTTTCTGGGGTTACTTCCCTTCTTCTTTTAATGCCACTAGGACCAGCTTGAGAGTCACTGGACCTCTGTCGCACAACAAATCTGTCCATAGAGCTCTGTACCTCCCGTTCCTTCAAGACTTTCCTAAAATGGGCCATAACATTGTCATTGAAATAGTCACAAGCACGGCTTGCAACAGCTGTGTCAGGGTGATTTTCATCTATAAAGGTTTGCAGTTCAACCCACTCTGCACACATTTCCTTAATCTTTGAAGTAGGCACAATGGATTCCACAACTGGCATAGGCTTCTCAGGGTTACCCCCAAAACCCCTTCAAAATCTTTCTTAATTTCCATACTAATTCTCACCCTTTTTACCACAGGGTTGGCACTAGAAGCTTTCTTGGGGCCCATGGTCACTTATTTTCCAGAAACAGCACCGAAAATACTGTAATAATACGAAATATTCCGAGTGTATGCTTGGATGTTACCGCGGAGGCTGGCTGGTAAACAATGGGACGGAGCGGCACATGTGAGGCTGGCTGAGGGCACATTGGACGCGTCTCGGACGAAAATCGGTATGCGGGTTTTTAATCGGTATGCGGGGCAAAAATTTTGCGATAAAAGTAATCGTTATGCGGAAAAATCGCTATGCGATGCCATCGTTATGCGGGGGTCCACTGTATCAGATCATTATCTAGTTGTAGCTACAGTTAGAGTAAGAGGTAGATGGGACAAAAGAAAAATGGCAGCAATAAGAGAGAGGTGAAAGTTTATAAAGTTTATGAACAGGGAAAAAAATGGGACATGCAACTTTGAGCATCCCAAAAAATGTAGTGACCTCCTGTCTAAAGGAGTGTGTCGTTCTTCTTCCTGTACTTTCTTTCACCCAAAAATGTGCCACTCCTCGGTCCTCCAGAAGCAGTGTTACAACATCGACTGCCCTGTTTACCATCTAAAAGGGACCAGGAGGCACAGACCCCACAAGACAAACAATAGTAGCTACGACAACCCAACTCCAGGTGATTTTTTAGTGGCAGGAAACGAAAAAAGAAAATGGAAGGAAATAACAAAAATAGTCCACCACCTTGGAGCCTTGTTGGACTGGAGGCGCAGCCAGTGGCCACCCTTGGCCCTCCAGAATTACAACTACTGATGCCAATAACAAAATCCCCCCAACAAACACAGAATACAACCTCGTTCATATTTGCTAATATACAGGGCCTTAAGCCATCCACCAACAACAAAATACCTTTTATCAGTGGACTTCTAGAGGAGTCTAATGCAATGTTTGCAGCCTTCACAGAGATTCACACAAAAGATCACTTTGACAGTGAAATATGGATAAGTGGTTACAACCTTTTTAGATGCGACAGAAAAAACAGGCAACAAGGGGGGGTTGGCCTGTATGTCGAAGAGTC